CGCACCCCTCCCACCGCCAAGTACATTCCACTATTCAACCTTAATTGTGGACTCTTGTGATAGCCATAATACCCTAACATACATTGCTTTTAAATTATTCACTCCCTCATCTGTTTCAGTGCAGTATACACAATTTATCCAGTTTTTCTCAGTCTTACCCCAACCCTGATATCAATCCCATTTTACCCTTTCCTGATTTTTAACCATGCAGTTTCCCTGTTCTGTTCTGAAGACTGCTTCCTGGTCCAAATATAGGTTTCACATAAACACAATATTCTGGGATTCCCATTCTCCTCAGGGTTAGCCATGATTTATTGTGATCCAGTCAGTCAAATGCCTTTGCATAGTCAATGAAACACAGATATTCATTTTTCTGGTACTCTTTGCTTTTGGCCAAGATCCATCTGACATTGGGAATAATGTCTCTAGTGCCACGGTCTCTTCTAAACCCAGCCTGTATTTCTGGTAGTTCTCTCTCAATGTACTCTTCCAGTCCTTTTGTGGATAATCTTCAGCAGGATTTTGCTTGCATGTGATATTAGTGATATTGCTCAATAATTTCCACACTCTGTCAGGTCACCCTTTTTTATGGAATGGGAATAAATATGGATTTCTTCCAGTTAGTTAGCCAGGCAGTGTCCCTCCAGATTTCTTGGCACAATCTGGTGAGCACACCAGGGCAGCATCTGTTTGTCATAATATGTCAATTGGTATGCCAGCAAATCCTGGGGCCTTTTTTGGCAAGTCCTTCAGAGCATCCTGAACGTCCTCCTGCATCACCATTGCCTCCTGATCTTATGTTGTTTCCTGAAATGCTTCTGTGTCACCCAATTCCTTTTGGTACAGTGACTCTGTATACTCCTTCCATTTTCTTTTAATACTTCCTGGATCTTTCAATATTATCTTTGGACTACGTAATATCAACTGACCCATCTTAAATTTGTGGATTGTTTCTTCTGCCTGAAATATGCTGTTGAGCTTCACTAGCAAAATTTTCCATTTCCATTATTGTTCACTTCAGCAGTTCTCTTTGGTTTCTTTTTATAATTTCTCTATTGGTAACGAGAGCTCTAGTGATACAGGGAGTTGTACTGCTAACTTAAAAGGTGGTGCATCTCTTCCCACACGCTCCACTATCATTGTTATATGATGGTAAGTCAGAATTTACTCCTAGTGGACCCTCCAGCAGGTTCTCAGAGGCTAGAAATCACACGGGAGGAGACCGTTCATTTTCTACCTCTAGTGCTGCTGGTAGACCCCAACCATGTGCCTTTGGTTGAAGTTGTACTTATAAGCCATCAGAGCTTCCTTACAATTTACAGTCTCTGAAAGCCCTAAGAAGGGTCAGGTATGAGCCAGTTCCAACTTGACAGCAATGAAGTTTGAATACCTTTGATGGTATTCTCTATTTGATAGATACCGTGCTTCTGGTCTCTTTGAGTTCTTTGTTCAGTAAAGGATATTACTAAGTTTTTCGTCTATTAAATCCAGCATTTGGGCATTCTCATGGACACCTGGCTTTAATTTTTTTTTTTCACTTAAGAGCTATTCTTTTTCTTTAACGCTTTAAAATATTATTGGAAACTAGGTATTTTAGATATTCTGAACTAGCAACTCTGGAAATAAGAATCTTTCTCTTTTCCAGGGATGTTTTTTTTTCTAAATTTTATTTCATTTGTTGATGTTGTTGAAAACACATACAGCAAACCATACACCATTCTACACATACAGCGCAGTGGCACTGATGATGGTCAAGCTGTGCAACTATGCCCACCCTCCTTCTCCTAACATAATGCTCAATCAAGGCAGACATACTTTACTAGTTAAACAATTGTTGGCAGCATCAGGATGGATGGTGAAGAGATTGAGATTGTGCACAGCTTTAGTTTGCTTGGCTCCACAGTCAACAGTCTTGGCACCAGCAGCCAGGAAATTAAAAGGTGCATTGCCATGGGAAAGTCTGCTGTTAGGGACCTCTCCAAAGTGCTGAAGAGCAATGGTGTCTCTCTGGAGACTAAGGTGCGTCTGATACAGGCCATGGTCTTTGCAATCACTTGTTATGCATCAGAGAGTTGGATAATGACCAAGGAGAATAGAAGGAGAATTGATGCCTTTGAGCTGTGGTGCTGGAGAAGAGTATTGAGAATACCATGGACTGCTAGGAAAACAAACAGATTCGTCCTGGAAAGGGTTAAACCGGGTGGCTCCTTGGAGGCAAGGTTTCTGAGGCTCTGTCTAACATACTTTGGGCATGTTGTGAGGAGAGACCGGTCTTTAGAGAGGGACATCATGCTTGGGAGGGTGGAAGGACAGCGCAGGAGGGGAAGGCCCTCTATGAGGTGGATTGATTCAGTGGCTGGGATAATCAGGATGGGAGTGTCAGAGACAGTGCGATTGGCACAGGACAGAGTGGAGTTTAGGGCTGTTGTACATAGGGTCGGTATGAGTCGCAAGCGACTTGACTGCACATAACAACAACAACAATTGTAAGGGAGCCCTGGTGGCCTAGTGGCAAGAAGATGCACTGCAATCCTGAAAGCACATGGTTTGAGGCCATCAGCTGCTCCAAGGGAGGAGTCCCACTTATTTACTGCCTCTGAAGACCCACCAGAGGTTCAGTTATGGGTTGAACCCAACTCAGTGGCATGTAACAACAACAACAAGAAACATGTACCATAATAAATTTACAATATAAAAGACTAGAAAGAAGCCCTTAAAGCCTTTCAGACAGATCATCTAGAAGGCTGGGCTGTATGAGGAGGAATGTGGTATCAGGATTGAAGAAAGACTCATCAACAACCTACATTATGCAAATGACACAACATTTCTTCCTGAAAGTGAGGAGGACCTGAAGCGTTTGCTGCATAAGATCAAGGACTATAGTCTTCAATATGGATTGAAGCTCAACATTAAGAAAACAAAGATTCTTACCACTGGCCCAATTGGCAGCGCCATGATAGACGGAGAGGAGATAGAGGTTGTTAACAGCTTTAGTTTGCTTGGCCCCACAATTAACACTCTTGGTACTAGCAGCCAGGAAATCAAGAGATGAATTGCATTGGGAAAGTTGGCTATCTGGGACCTCTCTAGAGTACTGAAGAACAATAACGTCTGTCTAGAGACTAAGGTTCGCCTGATCCAGACCATAGTCTTCGCAATTGCTTGCTATGCATCAGAGAGCTGGACTGTGCCTAGGGATGATAGAAAGAGAACTGATGCTTTTGAGCTGTGGTGTTGGAGAAGAATACTGAATATATCACGGACTGCCAAGAGAACAAATAGGTTTGTCCTCGAAAGGGTGAAGCCAGTCTGCTCCTTGGAGGCAAGGATTCTGAAGCTTCGTCTGACATACTTTGAACATATTACAAGGATGGCTCAGTTCTTGGAGCGGGACATCATGCTTGGAAGGGTGGAGAGACAGAGACAGAGAGGAAGATCCTCAATGAGATGGACTGATTCAGTGACTAGGGTAATAAGGGTAGGTTTGTCAGAGATAGTAAAGTTGGCACAGGATAGAGGTTTCAAGGCTGTTGAATATAGGATCACTATGAGTTGCAAGCAACTTGACAGCACATCATAACAATAACAACAAGAAAGACTCAGACTTACAAAATATTTTTCATCAGTAACACTAGTTAGTTAAAAAAGTATCAAATAATGTCATTAAAGATCTGAGTAAGATACCTTCTAGCAATGCTCCATCAATTAATAATGACATATTTTCAGATAAATGTAGACTTCAGAAGCTTATCCCAAATGTACACCTTAAACCTGCATGATGGTCTTTTCCAGAAGAACAAGAGTAAACCAAGAAAGATGCTAAGTCGTTGCTGTGTGCTGTGGAGCTGGAACAGACTTAAAGCGGATACTCCAGAAGGTTTCCAGAGGGAGTCAATCATACAGGAGGAGACTTCCCATCTTTCCCCCTAAGAACCCCTGGTGGAGTCGAACAGTGCAACCCCTTCCCACCAAAAAACCGATCAGAAAACCGATCTTGTTCAGTATAAACTATGAAGGCTTCTGGTCAACTACAAATAACAGTATGGACTCAAAGATGATGCCTGTTGTTAACAGAATAATAAAAGGGTAAACTTTATTAAAGATTAACAAAGTAACCAACAAAAGAAAGTAACATAATTATTGGGGGAAATGGAGATAGAGTAGATAAGTTAAATTCTGGTTTTTAAAAACAAGATAACTTAATGAGAAAATGGTAAAATAAGAAACAGTATCATAAGTATATTCTATAGAGATTTTTAAGAAACATCTAAAGAACTAAAAATTAAATTAGGAGAAAGAAGTGAGATTATTGAAGTCTTGCTGTATCCCTGTTTTTTAACAAGGTACCACTTTTACATTCTATCCTTTAAAGTTAGGAAAAAAAAAGAAACAATTAAGTCTTCTGACCCTTTCCTCCACAAACCCAGTCCCTTTCTAGAGTATCTCAATATGTTTAGTTACAATTATTCTATGCAGTTACAAGCAAACACGCTAGTGTTAGTATGTATCTAGTCCTCTTTCATGTCTGTTTACATGAATGGTACCATCTGAGCACTTGTTACCTTGTCTTTCTGCTTTAACTATGTAAGTCAGACATATTTTTATTTTGCCAGAAAAGATACAAGTTATTTTTTAATGGCTGTATCCTCACTGTCTACCATGGTGGCTGGCAGATAGATAGTAGGTACTCAATAGAATTTTGCTCAGTTGTTCTTTTACAATTCACCAGAGAAAAGAATAGGAGAAGTACAATAAAGGAAAACAAGAAACCTCCTAGGACCCAATGTCCAAGATCATGCCTCTGGAAATGCTATGAACTTTGATAAATGTCGATGGTTGGAGGGGGGCTTCAGGCCTTTTGTTCATAGGTGCTGACTCGAAGGCAATCAACAACAACAACAATGTCCAAGCTACTCACAGAGTAGACTACATAGTTCTTAGTGCCTAATCGTGAGGGAAATTAGCCCACCAATCTGTACACACTTTTTTGTCATACTTACTCTGAGCTCTTTTGGGCCTGTATAGATTGGAAGCAAGTGTACAGCACCCGGCCAGTCTAGCAAGAAAAAATAAGAGGCAATGTCACAGAAAACAGAAATAATACTGAGAAACTTGGCAAATTAATAGACTCCAGCCTAAGACTTATAAGCCAACTCTGGAAGCATATAGGGGAAAATAAAAAAAAGATTGCGAAGGAGAAATATGTTGGAAATCTATTTCTACAGGAAAGGCTATCTATCTAGTTAACATGACTTACCTGATACAACTAAACATTTGAACATATAATAGCAGCCAATCTCCTATTTCTACTGTTTCCTCATCCACAAAGTGGGGATAATATTTATAAAGTTACTGTCAAGGTCAGAGAATATGTACATAAAACACTTTAGGGAGCTCTGGTGGTCTAGTAGGTAAGGTGTTGCACTGCCAACCCAAACTAGTGGGGTTCCAACCCACAAGCTGCTCCACAGGAGACAATTCTGCTCCATTTAGTTTACTGACCTTATCTGTGTGAAAATAAAGCGAATCATCTTCAAATTGAGATGCTTCTGAGAATTAGGAAATGCTAACTAAATAGGCCACTGGGATTAAAGAGTAGAAGGGAGACTGGTGAAGGCAACCTATGGCGGGTGCCACTTAGCTCTCTCTAACCCTGTTGTCTGCAACCACACCAACCTACTTAGAATCTTTGTCAGAAAAGCCCTTCTCCAAGACTTACAGCCTTCTTCTGGTCACAAATCAAATGCTGCCTCCTCATAAAAACCTTCCTTGGCTACGCTATTGAAACAGCAAAGAGATTCCGCCACCTCCCATGTAAGTATATAAATGAATAAATAAAATACCTTTGTGTTTTTATCTTCTATGAAACAGGAAAAAATCAGTCCCACAAAGCCTTGATCCATCATCTGGTACATGGCTTGTGTGCGAACATCTGCAAATTAAAAAAAATAAAAAAATAAACCTCTCCAGTCAAAAAACTACCTCAGAAACTTAAAGATTTAAAATAATGGCATAAAATCTTATCTGGATTCAGATTCTAAAGAAGCAGGGATATGACTGTCAGAGCACAAGCATTTCACTGAGTCAGGGAACTTCTAACACACTATATAGTCACTCATGTATTATACTTATTACATCTTCCTTTCACTATATGCTAATAAAAGGACATATAGTTTCATTGGTCCCATGGAAGCAGTGAGTTAGTTCATGAATTGTGTTCCCTGTTACTGTTTTGTGCTGTTCATTCAGAAACAACCCACAGCGGACCCTCCCGTGGGTTTTCAGAGGCAGGAAGTGGCAAGAGAGATGGCCCATCTTTTTTCCCCACAGAGCAGCTAGTGGATTCAAACTATGTACTTTTGGGTTGGCACTGCAACTCCTTATCACTAAACCATCAGAGATAAATCTTGCTAGAAATCTGAAACACTTCCTAGATATGCATGGTAATAGGAAGAGGATGATAGTACAGTGACAGGTATTATATGTGTCCCATATATGCAAGAAAGACAAGCCCAACTTGAGGAGCATCCCACAGTCAAAAATGCCTACCCATAAAGGGGAAAAAAAGAAAAAAAGAACTGCCTCCCACCTCATCTTTACAAATTTTCATAAGTTTGAAAGTTTACTGGACTAGTAATTTTCAGTTAATTTTTTTATTTACTAGTAAATCTTTAAGTCTTTATTCTCTATTATATGGTCAAAAAAAAGTCTTGACATTTTAAAAATTATGATGCAAATAATTTTATTTTTTAAAATTTTTATTAATTTTAATGAACATTTACAGAGATTTTGGATTTTCATTCATTTACTGTTACACTTTTCTCCATGCCCAGCCCTCCCCCCCCAGTTTGCTCCTTTGAAAAGTCTATGTGCAACAATGAATGAATGGAAACCCAAAGTCTCTGCAAATTTTTACTGAAATTAATAATAAATTTAAATTAAAAAAAAATTTAAGTTAGAGTAAGGAAGGCAATGGATTTATAACTGCTCATGCTAATAACACTATATCATGGCATGGAGGAGGAATAGTGGAACTGTATTCACATTTACAACATTCCTCTTACCAAAACCATTTATGGAAAATAGGAACTGCATTGGAACATGCATCTCTGGACTGGAAATGATCATATTGATATTTTTAGCCTTAAACTTAAGTGTATTGTTCAAAATTATTTGTTATATATTTGTTTAAATTTGCCCTCTCTTCAGAACTGGGATCTAGAGGGAAGAGAAAAGACCAGAGTGGCCAAAATTATTGGGGCAGCTATTGCTGGCAGTTTAGGGCCTGTGTCAGGAAAAGGAAGTCTTACTCATAAACAATGTCACCTAAAGGTAATAAAGGGGTTCAGAATTGCTTCCACCATGGAAAGCTGGGCCACTTCAGTAGACAGTGTCACAGACGAGAGCCACAGATAGGCAAGGGAGTAGAGAGGAAGCTCCCACTCACTTGCTTTAAGTGTGGATCTGAAGGACACTTGGCCAAGGGTGGCCCACATCAGGTCCTCATGGCTGATTCGACTGACAGGCCCCAGCTCCCAGCTGGAAACAAAGAAGGACACTTCAACAATTTAGATCCTCCCAGAAGAGCCATAGGTGAGCATTAACATTACTGGTGAGTATATTCATTTTCTCCTGGACACAAGAGCCTAATATTTGGTCCTAAAAGCCTTCTGAGGTCCCAACTCTTCTATTTCTTAGTTGTTGGAATTGATGCAAAACCTCATAAGCAGTTCCTTACTTCACCTCTGCCTTGCATGCGGACTTCAGAGCTATAAAACAATCCAGTGGTAGATGGAATTTGGTGCAGGACTTAAGAACAATAAATGACATAGTTGAGCCTCTACATCTTGTGGTTCCTAACCTTTATACCATAATAGACAAAGTGTTAGTCAACAGCCTTTTAAGAACTACATTCCCTCTCTAACTTGATTTGTGCCATTGTTAGAACCTCTACTTAGAATATTATTGCTTTTAATTTTTGAGTCATGTACTTTTACCTTGTTAGTTAAATTTGTGTCTTCTAGGCTGCAACAGTTCCATGATGCATCTTCAAGGATATGAACATGTATGGCTAAGCACAACTGATAACAGTACATCTAAATTCCAAAATCAATCTCCACAATAGTCTACATGTTTCCTATTGCCAAAGGGGACATTTAGAGTAGTGAGAGATCTTCACCTTGAAACCTACAGTGTCCCTTTTCAGCAAGAAGTAGCTAAGAGAATACACCGTCCCCTTTTCCTTATGAATCAGGATGAAATCTCTCTCAGGAAGGAGTGATAGGGAATGGCAAAGGACAAACTGAAAAAGGAGATTAATCAGAACTGGTTTCGACAAGCACTGTGGCAATGGGACAATTAAAACAGACTTGCAAGGGGGGAAAATTAAATTTGCTTGCAAAAAAAGGGGGTGGACTAATTTTCTTTATATTTATGAAAACAGACCCTTTATTTAGATTTCCAGCTCTGGAATTCCAGTTGTAACATTTATTAGCTACATGATTGTGGGTAACTTAGTCCATTTCTGCCTCAATGTCCTCTCTCATTAGAAAGCCTAACTTAGAAAGTTGCTGAGAAGATTAAATTAGAAAATGGATGAGGAGGCCTTAATCTGATGTGTGGTATTTAGCAAATGTCTATTAAATATTTACTATTGGGGGAAAAGATTCTTTCATTGGTATACAATCCCCCCGCACCCCTCCCGCCACCCTGAGTACACGCCACTATGCAAACTTAATTTTGGACTCATGATACCATTAATACCTAATATCGCTTTTAAATTGTTCTCTCCTAAATCTGTTTCAATGCAGTATACATAATTTATCTAGTTCTCAGTCTTACTCAACCCTGGTATCAGTCCCATCCTACAACAGTGGCACCATGCAATATTTTTCCTTTTGTGACTGAGAAATTTCACTCAGCACAATGTCCTCCAGGGTCACCCATTTTGAATAATATTGCATGAGTTCCTTGTTTTACAATTCAGCATAGTATTCCATTGTGTGAATATACCACAGCTTCTCTATCCATTTCTTTGCTGATGGGCACTTAGGTTGTTTCCAACTCGCTGCTATAGTGAACAAAGCCGAGATAAACATGGGTGTGCATATATCTGCTTGGATGTCAGTTATGGTCTCTTTGGGATATATTCCCAGTAGTGGAATGGCTGGGTCAAACGGTATCTCTACTTGCAACTTTTTGAGAAAGCACCATACCGCCTCCCACAGTGGTTGCCACCATTTTACACTCCCACCAACAGTGAATAAGAGTTCCAGTTTCTCCACAACCTTGCCAGCATTTGTTGCTTGCTGTTCTGTCAAATTTTGCTATTCTGACTGGGGTGAGATGATATCTCATAGTTGTTTTAATTTAAATCTCTCTTAGAACTAGGGAATTTGAACATTTCTTCATGTGCTTGTTAGCCATCTGAATGTCGTCTTTGATGAAGTGTCTGTTCATATCCTGTGCCCAATTTTCGATTGGATTATTTACCTTTATCTTGTTGTGGTGCTCAAGTATTTTATAAATTCTAGATATAAGTCCGTTATCTGACATGTCATTACCAAATAGTTTTTCCCAGTCTGTGGCTTCCCTTTTTACTCTGTTGGAGAAGTTTTTGGATGTGCATAAGGATTTGAGTCTTAGAAGGTCCCATTCATCTATGTTGTTTTCTTCTGGCTGTAGATTTTTCAGGATACTTGGAAGACTGTTTATGTTGTGGATTAGGACTACTAGAGTTCTTCCAAGCTTTTCTTTAATGAAGTTTCCCGTCCTTGGTTTTAGTCCCAGATCCATGATCCACCTTGAGTTGGTTTTTGTCTATGAAGTAAGGTGTGGATCTTGCTTGAGTCTTCTGCAGATAATTTTCTAATTTTGCCAACACGATTTGTTAAAAATGCTGTCATTTCCCCACTTAACTGAGTTCATCTCTTTGTCAAAAATCAGTTGACCATAGGTAGATTTGAAGGTTCTAAATTTTATTTCATTCATCTATGTCTGTCATTGTACCAGTACTATGCTGTTTTAACCACCACGGCAGTGTAGTAGAATTTTAAATCAGGGAGTGAGATGCCTCCTACCTTTTTTCTATTTTTAAGGAGTGCTTTGCTTATTCGAGGCTTCTTTCCATTCCAAATGAAACTGGAGATTACCTTTTCCATCTTATTGAAGAATGGGATTGGTATTTGTATTGGGATTGCTTTGAACATGTAAATTGCCTTTGGTAGTATTGCCACTTTAACAATATTGAGTCTTCCTATCCATGAGCAAATGGATATTCTTCCAATTCTCCAGGTCTCTTTTCATTTCTTGCAGTAATGTTTTGTAATTTCCTTTGGATAGATCCTTTGTGTTTCTAGTTAGATTTACTCCTAAGTATTTAATCTCGTGATTCACTATTGTGAAGGGTATTGTTTTTCTTAGTTCAGGCTCTGTATTCTCTTTGTCACTGTAGAGGAATCCAACTGATTTTTGTATGTTGATCTTATATCCTGATACTTTGCTGAATTGGACAACTATGACCAATAGTCTTCTTGCTCAGACTTTAGGGTTTTCTAGGTATGTTGTTGTTATGTGCCATCGAGTCGCTTTCGACTCATAGTGACCCTATGTACAACAGCCCTAAACCCTGCTCTATCCTGTGCCTATCGCACTGCCTCTGACACACCCTTCCCAGTTACCCCAGTCACTGAATCAATCCACCTCAGAGAGGGTCTTCCCCTCCTGCACTATCTGTCCCTCTACTCTACCCAGCATGATGTCCCTCTCTAAAGACCTGTCTCTCCTTACAACATGTCCAAAGTATGTCAGGCAAAGCCCCAGAATCCTTGCCTCCAAGGAACAGCCTGGTTTAACCCTCTCCAGGATGAATCTGTTTTCTTGGCACTCCATGGTACATTCAGTACTCTTCTCCAGCACCACAGCTCAAAGGCATCAATTCTCCTTCTATCCTCCCTAGGCATTGTCCAACTCTCTGATGCATAACAAGTGATTGCAAAGACCATAGCCTGTATCAGACACACCTTAGAGAGATCTGGAGGGATCTTTAACAGCAGACTCTCTCATAGCAATACGTTTTTTAATTTCCTGGCTACTGGTGCCAAGACTGCTGATCGTGGAGCCAAGCAAATTAAATTTGTTAACAATCTCAATCTCTTCACCATCCATCCTGATGCTACCAATTCATCCAGTTGTGAGAATTTTGTCCTCTTGACACTGAGCCTCAATCCATATTGAAGGCTGCAGTCCTTGACCCTCTGCAGCAAGCTATCAGATTATCTGCATAGAGAGATAATTTTACCTCTTTGCCAATTTGAATACCTTTTATTTCCTTCTCTTGTCTTATTGCTATCACGAAGGCTTCCAAAACAATATAAGAGAGGTGAGAGTGGGCATCCTTGCCTAGTTCCTGTTCTTAAAGGGAATTCCTTTAACCTCTCTCCAATGAGAACAATGTTGGCTCTAGGGTTTGCATAAATATTTTTTACTATGTTGAAGAAATTCCCCTCTAATCGTATTTTGTTGAGTGTTTTAATCAGGAAAGGGTGTTGTATTTTGTCAAAGGCCTTTTCTTCATCAATTGAGAGGATCATACAGTTCTTGTTCTTTACTTTGTGAATATGATGAATTACATGAATTGGTTTTCCGATGTTGAACCATCCTTGCATACCTGTTATCAATCCCACTTGGCCATGATGAATTATTTCTTTGCTGTCTTGTTGGATTCTATTGACCAAGATTTTATTCAGGATTTTTGCATCTATGTTCATAAGACACATTGGCCTATAGTTTTCTATTTTGGTTGTGTCATTTCCTGGCTTTGGTATCAAGGATATGTTTGCTTCTTAGAATAAATCTGGGAGAATTCCATCTTTCTCTATTTCCTGAAATAGTTTATGTAGAATTGGTGACAGTTCGTCTCTGAATGTTTGATAAAATTCACTTGTAAAACCATCTGGTCCAGGGATATTTTTGTTCGGAAATTGAAAAAAAAAAAAAGGAAGTTACCTTTCAATTTCTTCTCTTATAATGGGTCTATTCAGATGTTCAGTTTCAGTTTGTGTTAGTTTAGGTAGGTTGTGCATTTCTAAATATTTGTCCATTGCCTCTAGGTTTGCAAATAATTACTTTTAAAATACAGCAAAATAAATCAAAATAAGGAAACTAGCTTTGGTATAACAAAGTCATAGCCTGTTTAATGGAAAAGAAAAAGAGAATATTCATTTCTAAGAACAATAAATTCAAACCTAGAGTTGCTATAATAAAGGATGCCTTAGGCAGAATATTAAATATTCCAGGAGGTATTAAAAGAAGATGGAAGGAATATACTGAGTCATTGTATCAAAAGGAATTGGCAGATATACAGAAGAATTTAATGAAATAGCATTTGAGCAAGAGCCTATGGTGATGAAGGATTAAGTTCAAGCTGCTTTGAAGGAAATAGCAAAAAATAAGACCCCAGGAATAGATAATATACCAATTGAAGTATTTCAGATAACAGATGCTGCCCTGGATGTGCTCACCAAGTTGTGCCAAGAAATCTGGAGAACAAGCACTTGGCCAACTGACTGGAAGAGATCTATATTTGTTCCCATTCGAAAGAAGGGTGACCCAACAGAGTGTGGAAACTATAGAACAGTATCATTGATTTCACATGCAAGCAAGATTCTACTGAAGATCATCCAAAAACAACTGGAACAGCACATCAGCAGAGAACTGCCAGAAGTCCAGGCTGGGTTTAGAAGGGGTCGTGGTACTAGAGATATTGTAGCTGATGTTAGATGGATCTTAGCTGAAGGCAGGGAATACCAGAAGAATGTGTATCTGTGTGTCATTGACTATGCAAAGACGTTTGACTGTGTGGATCATAACAAACTGTGGCTGACTCTGAGAAGAATAGGAATCCCAGAACATTTAATCGTGCTAATCAGAAACCTATTCTTGAACCAAGAGGCAGTCGTCAGAACAGAGCAGGGTAACACTGCATGGTTCAAAATTGGGAAGGGTGTACGCCAGGGATGTGTCCTATCTCCATACATTTTCAACCTGTATGCAGAGCAGATTATCCGAGAGGGTGGGCTTTATGAGGAGAAGTGTGGCGTCAGGATTGGTGGAAGATCTATTAACAATCTGCGCTATGCAGATGACACAACCCTCCTTGCTGAAACTGAGGAGGACATGCAGCACTTGCTGCAGAGGGTCAAGGAGTGCAGCCTTCAGTATGGTCTGAAGCTCAATGTCGAGAAGACAAAGATTCTCACCACTGGATGAATTGGTAGCATCAGGATGGATGGTGAAGAGATTGAGATTCTTCATAGCTTCAGTTTGCTCGGCTCCACGGTCAACAGTCTTTGCACCAGCAGCCAGGAAATCAAAAAACGTATTGTGATGGCAACGTCTGCTGTTAGGGACCTCTCTAAAGTACTCAAGAGTAACGGTGTCTCTCTGGAGACTAAGGTGCACCTGATACAGCCCATGGTCTTTGCAGTCACTTGTTATGCGTCAGAGAGTTGGACAATGCCTAGGGAGTATAGAAGGAAAACTGATGCCTTTGAGCTGTGGTGCTGGAGAAGAGTATTGAATGTACCCTGGACTGCCAAGAAAACAAACAGATTCATCCTGGAGAGGGTTAAACCAGGCTACTCCTTGGAGGTAAGGATTCTGGGGCTTTGTCTGACATACTTTGGACATGTAAGGAGAGACAGGTCCTTAGAGAGGGACATCATGCTTGGTAGGGTGGAGGGACAGCACAAGAGGGGAAGACCCTCTATGAGGTGGATTGATTCAATGACTGGGGTAACTGGGAGGGGTGTGTCAGAGGCAGTGCGATTGGCACAGGATAGAGCAGGGTTTAGTGCTGTTGTACATAGGGTCGCTATGAGTCGCAAACGACTCGACAGCACATAACAACAACAAGAACAACAATAAACATTGTAGTCCTCTGATATTTACCAGACTGTGCTGTTGTTGTGTACCACAGAGTTAGAACTGTCTCATAGCTGACCCTCTTCATGAGGAGACTGTCCATCATCCTTCTCTTGGAGAGCTGCTGAGGGCCTCGAACTGTGTGCCTTCAAGACTGCAGTGCAGCTTCTTGCCACTAGGCCACCACTGAAATCCCAAAGTCACATGGTTCAAATCTACCAGCTGCTCTGCGGGAGCAGGATGTGCAGTCTCCTCCTGTGTGATTAACTGCCTCTGAAAACCCAGTGGAGGGTCAGCTATTCGTTGGCTCCAACTCTAAGGTACACAACAACAACAATACTTACCAACATGTGAAGGCCAAACAGTTATATGAGGATGGGAGTGATACCAGCCCACAACTCTCATGGGGCGACCTGTGATTTCAGCCAACCTGTGTGTCTGTCAAGGGATTTTTCAAATGAGAGCTCAAAATATGCCATGCTCAATAGAGGCTCAAGAAGCACCTGGAGAATTAAATTCATTATGATTTATTATGATTTATGGGTTAATGTCAATGTCAAGACTATAAATATCTCCCCACTGACTGGAAACAGACATCATGATAGATGGTGAGAAGACTGAAATTGTGAATGATTTCATCTTACTTGGACCCATAATCAACTCCCTTGGTACCAGCAGTCAGGAAATTAGGAGATGTATTGCACTGGGCAAGTGTACCATCAGGGACCTCTCTAAATCACTGAGAAGCTATGATGTCAGTTGGTAGCTAAAGTGCACCCGATTCAGGCCATGGTCTTGTCACAGCTGTTCAGAATGCATCTGAAAGTTGGACAGTTACTAAAGATGGGAGAAGAATTGACACCTTTGAGTTGTGGTGTTGGAGCAGAGCACCAAAGCGCTCATGTACTGCCACGAAAGCTAACAGATAGGTATGTTGTGGAGAAAGTGCAGCCAGTGTGCTCTTTGTAGGCAAGGATGACAGAGCTTCATCTGTCATACCCTGGACATATGGTTAGGAGATGTTAATCCTTGGAAAAGGACATCATGTTTGGTAAGACCTAGAAGCCCCAAAAGATGCAACAGTCTCTTAGAGACCACCAAGGATATCTCTGCCTCTGTTGAAGCTGCAGACAGCTGCTCTGGAGAAATTTCTACCCGATCCTTCCTTTTGTCAGAACGCCGCAAAATGATGACAGAATGAATGTGAATAATTTTCACAGAGTCAACCTAGAAAGAAATGTGCAGAAAAAACATAATATTACATTGACATATAAATTTAGAAGTGCATGTCATTACTTTAGCAGGCCAAATATTACACCTTAGAAAACTGACATTTTTCTGATGAATTATTTTAATAAGACATCCAACCTCAATTTATATCCACATTTTAGAAAACACACACACACACACACACACACAGACACTCTTAGCTCAAGGAAGGCTTTGTTAAATGATCAACTAATACAACTATGAACAAAGGAATATGAGTCAGAGACTCTGCCTTTAAAGTACTATAGTCTAGTCTAGTTTTGCAAGAAGTAACTAACTGGTAAGTAAACATAGGAATTGTGAGGAACTGAGAAAAAAAATCTTCATAGAGATTAGCTATTTCCGGATTGCAAGAGAGAAAGAGACAAAATTAGCTAATGAGGCACCTTGTAGGTATCAGAGGTAAAGAAGCCTGAGTAAAATTTTTGGAAGAGAAGCTGATGTATTGGTTTGGAATACATGCCTTAGAGTTGTATGGCCAAGAAAGCCAGGTTGATGGAGCGAGATTACTGGATGAAGTAGACTGCAGAGATTGTGGAAAGAGACTGTAGACCTATCAGGAAGATGAACCCAACATTTGGGGAGCTTATGAACCATGAAGAGGAAATTGTCAAGATGAATTTTAAGTTTCAAACTTAGGTTGGGAACTAGGGTCTGGAAGGAGGAAAGGTGAGCTCTTTTCAGATAAATTGAGAGGCAATAGTGTGTGGTGATTTTCAGCAGCAGAGATCAAAAGCTAGATTTAAAGGTCAGGGAGAACAGAGGAACCCAAACCAGAACAACAGAATGGGGCTATTTTCTAGGGAAAATGTGTTGGCATTGCCAACTGTTGTTGCAAGGAAGCTGCACTGTCCAATGTGTGGCCAATGTAAAATACACACTGGGTTGCCCAGATTTAATACCCGAAAGAAAAACAAGAGAAAACATCTCAACATTTCTTAATATTGAATGTTGTTGTTATGTGCCATCGAGTTGCCTGTGACTCATAGCAACCCTATGTACATCAGCTCTAAACCCAGCTCTATCCTGTGCCAATTTTATTGTCTCCAACACGCCTATCCTCATTGCCCCAGTGACAGAATCAATCCATCTCATTGAGGGTCTTCCTGATAGATGTTGATAAAACTCTTACTCATTCTTTTAACTCCACTGATCTGAAAATGGAATTAATAATCTTCCCCCTTTCTTTCAGAAAACGATGTTAGTTCAAGCACACTTTTATGCTAAAGGGACAGAGGCAGGCAACAAGAAAAGTTTGAAGAGCAAGGTCTCGGAGGTTGTGGGGGGAAAGAGACAAAGTGGTTAAAGCTGAGAAGTAAACAGGTTCTTGTCCTACAGTTCTGCTTTGTTTTTAACTCATTGCTTTTATGCATTGTTAATTTTCCCCTTCATATTTATGCCAGACAGGGAAAGGCTGAGAGTTTGATCTTACATGGCTGTTCACAACTGTTAAGACAAGGTCTGTATGTATCATGTACATTTTACTTTATGGAATTACTGTTGATGTAGTGCTTTCACCCATGCCATCTGCCCACAGACATCTGCTATCCTAGTGATTCCTATAGCTTTCCCCCCTCCTTTATTGGGGGCACCCCTCTCTCTCTTCTTTAGTGATATTGTGCTGTCCATCCTATTTAGGTATAGGCTTTTCCCTTCATCTAAGTTAGTTTATGTCTAATTACTGATTTTCCCTCCCCTTCCCATCCTGTTCCTGGTAACTACCAAAGACACTTGCTTTCTGTGTTCCAACTTTTATAGCATCTCTTTTTTTAAATTTTTTTTTCTTTTTGTGTGTGTGTACCATCAAATCAGATCTGACTGGTACAGGAGGAGATTGATTGTCCCTCCTTCCCCGGCAGAGCATCTGGTGGATTCGAACCGTTCGCCTCTGGGATTGTAGTTGCAGCTCCTTGCCACTAGGCCACCAGAGCTCCCCTGCATCTCTATGTGGCTTCTATCACTTTTCCTCATCTACTTGTTGGAAATTAGGGAAAACCATTTTCACAAAAGCACAGATCCTCAACACACTGGAAAAGAAAAAGACTAGTTCTCTAAGACAACCGGGAGTTCAACAATTTGAAAACACCAGATGTTCTGCATTAGAAAGATGGAGAGCACCTGCTTGTAAATATTTACAAGATTGGAAGTGACTTGATGGCACTGGGCTTTTATAAAACAATTATAGAATGTCGGCTAGAATCAGGAAGCCAGAAACGATAGGAGAGGAGGAAATGCAAGGTGGTGCTAATACTGAATATTCTTAGACATTAAATAGTCTTGTCTGTAGTGAATAATATGTTGGGCTGGTAAGCAAGGGGTTAGTAGTCTGAGTACATCAGTGGTTCTGTGGGAGTCAGATGGGCAGCGTCCTCTCACACAAGAGAAAGATGGAGATTTGGGTATGTGCTACAAAGAACAGAGAATTCAGTTCTTTCCTAAAGAGTAGGTTCAACATCAGATTTCATTAGCAACAAAAGCCCACTCAGCTCCATCATAAGAAAGACTCCCCCAAAATAGAGTTTCCACTATGTGAAATCGGAGCACACATACCTTTTCAACAACTGGTCGTAATTCATTTGCAGCATATGTGACCTTAGACTCACTCCTATTGGGGATAAATTAGAAAAAATAGGGGTGGAAGTGGGATTTGGAATAAAGGTGGATTAAACAACATTCACAGTTCTTGTCATGAAGCCTTAGCAGTGGAAACTGAGGCCTCAGCACTTCCATCATAGGAGTCAGCCCTGGGTGCTGAGGTGAGCGGGCCATGTACATGCTGTGCAGTGTAAGGGCCGAGCAAAATGTATTCACGTCAAGCTTCCAAGCCAGGGGAGTAGGCAATTTAGCTGGAGAGACATAGCAAAAGGCTTGCAAGGCAAAGTGTGTAAGTGGGGGATTTCCTCAAAATAAGGCAGTGCATGATTATGGAAACGACATAATAGTTCTAACAATAATGGGAAGCAGAAGATGGGAATAAATAACAAAAGTCTTACCTTGTGTCATCATTTAACTAGAGTGGGAAAGAGAAGAAAACATTATTGACCACATTATGCTTCTTTGATGTACACAGACACGGACTCTTTAAATCTGAGGTTCTGGGCTTGGGCTTGCTAACGCGGGAGGCTGGAGGAATTCTTACTACAGAAGATGAATTAAGCATGCTGTCATGTGCCTTGGCCTCAGCAACAAAGCAACAGGAACTTTCTTTCCTCCTGAAAGCCTTTTGCAAAAGCTAAGGGCTTCAAGCGGAACACCCGGGTCCCTGGGGGCTGGCGCCCAGCGAGGCTACGCCAAGCGACCTGAGCGTCGCCGGCCGGGCATCAACATGGTCTGGCCACGGGACTGTGCCCTAGGCCCGGGCTGGGGGGCCTCTGCAGCCCTGGCAACTGCCCGCAGCTGGGCTGGTCCGGTGCCGACTCACCTCCCCGATGCACAGCCCCATCACTTCCTCCTTCTCGGTGCTCAGAGCATGGTTGAGGCACACCAGGAAGGCGTCGGACTCTAGATGAACGGCCTGCACCACCTGCACCGCCATCTTGGCCGGCCTTGTTCACATCCGCCAGGGCCTCACTCTCGCCTGGCCAACCGCGGCCCGCATGGCGGGCGGCTCCGGGGGGCGGGCCTGGGGCGGGGCGTGCGCGGAGAGGCGGGGCCTCCTGGGCCTTGGGCCGCAGCGGGCTTGGGCCGGGCGTGGCGTGCTGGCGGGCGGGGGCGGCGCCCTGTTGTCGCGGCAGGACGGGTGTGTCGGCGGCGCGGACGGCGGCCGAGCGGGTGATCGCCTCCATCCGCGTCGGGAAGGCTGGCACCATCTTGCCGGCTGCGGAGGAGCCTGCGCGGCCTACACGCTCGGCGGACTGCCCGTGGAGGCGGGGCCGCTGCTCGCCGGCCTCTAGAGCCCGGGGACGAGCTTTTGAAAGTCGGTCGTTAAACAGTTAAGGTTTTCTTTTATTTGGTTTCATTTCTAAGTCACAGCCGCGACCTCGGTCAAACTTCCGGACCGCTTCGCTGTCCCGACCTCCGCTCGTGACTTGGATGCCCTTTAGCGGGTCCCGGGCTGTGGGCCGGGGGTAGGGAGCCTGGAGTGCGGGCCGAGCTGCTTAGAAGCGGAGTAATTAGCTGGAGAAAGGATCTCTTCATGTGAGTAACCTTTAGCAGAAACACAGTGATAATACTGTATCTGGCAAAGTATCACTTTTAAAATGAGTTTCTGCGACTTTCTCCAGAGGACCGAATGTCTCTTTCTTTCCCTGGGATGTGGAACAAAGCTGGGGGACTTCTACTTGTACTCGAAATCAAATTGTCGCTTCAAACGTTCAGAGGACAGGCGGCCTTAAGATAATAGGCATGGTAAAATAAATGATGTCTAAAAGTGACTTTAAGATATTCCAAACGTGCTATTCATGAAAGGACAGCCCCCTTCCAATTTAACGCCCGATTTTAACAATTAAAGGTTCATTGTAGCGACGCCTTTTTTATCAAAACGGAAAAAATGTTTAGCGTGCCGTTGCCACAACCAACCTATGTTGATTTTGGGAGAAAAATTTGAAAAGGGTTCTTTCCTACGATTCTACATTCCTGATGATGTCGTCTTCTTTCATGTCACTTTCAACATTGACCTGGCCCATCCAGTTTAATTATATACGCACATGCCAGCAACCTCAGTTTTTACATAATATGCTTAAAGATCATATGTCATAATTTCCCTTTATTTTTGAGGAATAGGCAGATTTTCAAGTGTGCCTTTTAAATTATATCCATCTAAATGTCTCCTTAATTGCCAACTCCAACATGCATTTTTCTTTTATTACTGATGCTCTGGGAGCTCTGGTAAGGAGTTGTGCTGACATCCAAAAGGCATGTGGTTCAAATCAGCCACCACTCTGCAGGCAGGCAGATGGGCAGTCTCCTCTCATGGGATTTACAACCTGTGAAAACCCACTGGACGGTCCGCTAGGAATCCATACGATTCTACAGCATACAACCACAGCATGCTTATTCTGATGGCCTAGTGCGTGAGGAAAGTGCGGCTAACCTAAAGATGACGCCGTGTCTAGCAGTTCAAATCCACCAGCTTACTCTGCAGGAGACAGGTGGGCAATCTGTTCTCGAACAATATACTGCCTCAGAAGGTCAGCTATAAATTAGCTTAGACTACAGACAAAAGAGTTTGGACTTACGCCATGATGGGGCCAGACTGTTCTCATTAAGGATATGTATTTCAGCTTTTCAATTGTTGACAAAGCATCTTTTTGGTACTTGTTGTTACTCATTTTCATATCCAGACAGTGAATGTTCCTGCCTACATTTTCCAGCTTTAACAGTTAAATGATAGTAGAAGGAAAACAAAGTTATTAAAATGTGTAACAAACTTACTATGTGCTAGACACGGAACTAAACATTTTTATACATTATGTGTGCAATCTGCCCCAGTTGAAATGAGGCTCTCATTTCAATGTGTGACTTTGGGCAAGCAGCCTAACTTCTATATGCCTCCATTTCATCATTTGTAATTGGAAAGAATAGTTGTGTCCAGCCTCATAATTGTGGTGACGCGCAAATACATCTGTACATGGAAAGCATGTTGCTGTTGTTATGTGCCATCAAGCCAACTACAGCTCTGAAGGATGCCCTATCCTGAGCCTTCCCCACCATCTGACATACCTGACCCCACTGCCACCGTCAGTGAGTGTATCAATCCATCTCATCCAGGGTCTTCCTCTCCTGTGCTGACCCTCCTCCACCCTGCCAACCATGATGTCCTTCTCCAAGTAGTAATAAGTGATAACTATATTAATGATTTTGCATTTTCCATTTATACATAAGGAAACTGAGATGGAAAAAAATTAACTTGTCAGAACTCAGAAAGTGAGGATTCATATATAGACCAGATTAGCCCCATGATGCAGTCTAACATAGTAATAATTTTGCCCATTGTAAATGAGTGAGCTTAGTGACTTCAAAGAAAACAAGTACATTTAACTGCTGAATGCATAAAACTGTTTGACCACCTGGAAATGAAAGCAAATGTATACTTTAGAAAAATGAAAGTATGATGGTCTGACTCAAATTTCCTTCCTTAGAAAGGACTTCCATGGTATCAGTATTTTTTAGTTCTTTCATGGATGCTATAAAGTTTCCTAAGTAATTCTTTGAACTCGTGGTTTTGTGACTGGTATTCCTTGAGTTGAGAGCTATTATAGTCTATTTAGTTGCATTCTGTATCGAAGTTTTCTGTAAGGTTTTGAGAGATTCATCTTAGTTCAAGAGATCCTGAAAGTGTCATGTTGGGGAAGGGGGGAATTTTCTAATCAGTTTGAAAAATGCTGCATTAAGCCAGTTTCTTTATTGCATTACTTGCTAGAGCTTTTACCATGCTACCATGCTTTATGATTCCCCAAACTAGGTGATGAAAAGAAATACAGGGAGCAAATGCTCTAAGAATCATATTTAGGTATATGCTATTGGTAGGCGTTGATTTTAAGCTCTTATTTAGGCTCTGCTTTTCTCTACTGTGGGTGCTTTTGATTTGTGCTCATATAGCAGTTTTGCTATCCCTTGATTGTTTCAGTTGCCTCTCTCTGGGTGCGCATGCTACCTCTGACTGGTAGGTAGCACACAGAGGTCTGGCATTATGTGCTATAGTTTGTTCTCAGATTTCATCCTGCTGACATGCAGCATGTTGGCTTGTGAGTGACATCGCTTTTCTTCAGTTCTTCTGAATGTCAATATAAACAATAAATTTTATTCTTTAATTATAAACTAAATGTCACTATGTTGATTGTTGCTAGGACCTGTCTGTGAAGCTATGATGGGCCTAAAACCCTAAACACTTGGTTCCACTTTAGGAAAAAATTCCTTGTACACATCTGCCTTTCATAATCAAAACCTTGACTTTTAAATATTCTACCTTGGCATTAGTATTTACCAGGAATTTGCTTCTATCTCTCCTTTTCAAAGCCCTGGGGAGGAAAAGAGGCACAATAATTGTTTTTGCTCAACAGAAAAGAAATAATTTTGAAAAATATTGCTCTAACTGGAGGCTTAAACACATGCAGATATTACATTATTATCTGTGTGCACATGGCCAGTCACACTTGTCAGATGGCCTGCCTGTGACCAGATGTATTCAGGACTGGGCAACTCAAGTCCCTGATACTTGTCAAATAATGTATCCTTCTTGCTATTGAAGGCCCTGTAATACCACATTTTGATAGGACTGCTTGTGAAATAAGCAAAGAACAACTTCTAATTAAGAAGCTAAGTTATGCACTTTGGTTTAGACATAAATATTAGTGATAACAGACAAGATTTTTCAAAGGTTTTAATGGAGGAGGCAACTTTGTCATGAGAGTCAGGTAAGCAGGTGGTAGACGGGATGCAGCCTAGTATTTGGGGCAACGTTTGGCCCTCATAGAGTGGTCATAGTGGTACTTGCTGGTGAAAGCAAAATATATATATAAGGGTAATACCTAGGATCATACTATAATAAGATTTTAGACTCCTATTTCCTGTTTTAGGAAAGTCAATCTGGTTTTGAGATAGTAGCCAATTGACTGGGAGAAGAGACTAGAGCCAATTATGAAAATGCAGTAATGCAGGCATATGGCCATTTGTGACAAGGTTGGGGAGGTGCGAGAGAAATGGAAAACAGAACAAAGCAGAAGTATTTTGCTGAGGAAGAAATAACAGCTACTGAAGTGGAAGACATACGTCTAAGTTTTAAGACTCAAGAAAGTTGTTTCCATTTAGAGAACCCAGGCTCGGAGTCAGACCCACTCAGAGTCCAGTGGTTATACAACTGTAATGCTCTTCAGTTATTCACTAAAAGTCTATAAAGATTTTTTTTACTTTGCTTTTAGGAAAGGTAAGCCTGCAGTGTTAAGAAACAAAACAATCCAACTCAGCTCATTGTCCTTGAAGAGAGATATTGGTTTGCCTTATTTTGAAATACTGGATTCTTCCTTGGTCTGCATTATACTGCATTCTGGCATCTGGTTTGCTACTGACCATCTCATCTTGAGATTTTAATAAACTTGCATGGAGAAATACAGTATATCATGTTACTTTGATACCAAACTGAGCAGAGGATAGGAAGCAATCTACAGTGAAGTTAGAACCAGGGAAGAGTTGATCTGAATCACCATCATCATCCCCAAAGTGTCAAAACCCCATGAAACTGCCTAAATATTTCTCTGAACATGAAAATCCCCTTTTGGAAAAGCCTGGCCACTCTAGCTTTTGTAGGTAAACTGATAAATTGGCCCTTTCTTTGCCTTTAGAAAACATGTTTTTCATTTAGATCTGACTGTCAGAATCTTACCTTTCAAAATGGAAATTTATTAGAAATAACTTCTAACTAGGGAATATGGCATGAATATGTCAAACTGCTTTCCTGCTGAAAGACGTGGGATGTGGGCATACTTTTGAGCCTATCTCTTGTTAATTATGTTAACTACATCTTGACAGACACTGCTTTGTGAATGCAAACTGTGTAAGACCACGGCCAGGCCCACAATTTCATAAAACTCTCTAGCCAGTTCTTCAGGTTCTATTTTGGTGTCATTCCAGTTGTCCTGCAAGTGAACATCTCATTTCCTCAGTCCTGTGTCTGCCAGTAGACATATGTTAGATCTGCTTCTGGTTGGATGGTGCCAGGTCACCTAGCTCACTGGTAAATTCATTCAAACCCCAAAAGTCACACTGTGTCCTGTGCGCGGGTGCTGCAGGCTTAGGCGGAGAAAAGCAGGGATAGAATTGGAACCCAAATCCCAGAATGGCAGGAGAGGATGTGGGGGCTCCACCCGATCACCTCTGGGTTCACCAAGAGGGTATCTACCGCGACGAAAACCAGCGCACGTGGGTTGCTGTCGTGGAAGAGGTAACTGTTTACATTTTACTTATTTCTTTTGCTTTCAAAAAACTTGGTTTCTATCCAGTCTCAGTTTTCTGAAGTCTTTGATTTTGTCTTGCTCCTCCCTTTCCTTAGGAGACAAGTGTCCTAAGGGTGCGAGTCCGGCAAGTTCAGGTTTCCTTAGGTGACGCAACTAAGCCAAGTCACCTCCTGACCTCCCAGCTACCTCTCATGTGGCAGCTCTATCCTGAGAACTGCTACATGGATAACCAGTCTCGGTTGTGGCAGATACAGCATCATTTAATGGTACACATTCTATTTAACCATCCTTTGTTGCATTGGGACTCAGAGAACTACTCCATAAATGTCTTTTTCTGACAGGTCAGGGGAGTTCAGGAGCTGTTGCTTAAGCTTTTGCCTGATGATTAACCTGGTACGTATTTCTATTTCTCCCCAACCCACTTCCTTTTGTTTACTGTGTTTGGTTGTGGTGATGTTAATTATGTCCTTTTTTTTTTCCAGGTGCTGGGATTCTAGGAAGATATTCTCACTTGTTCAGTATATGGCGTTCACTTCATCCTCCACTGCAGTGCACCCACTCTTGGGCCTGGGGGGAGGGAGTGAGGTCATGAAGAGTCCCACATGTGAAACTGCAAAGACAGGGTTACACTGACAGAAACATTTAGTCAGAAGCCAGTACCTTGACATTGACTCCTTTGGAAATTGTCATAGAACCTTTACTGGACGTCATCGGCTGGAACTGGGATCTGATGAATCCCACAAAAGTCAGCACCTGCTACAGAACAGATGCCCTGACCACCAAGGACTTGGTACTGACTTAGAGAAGACAGCAGCTTCTAGCGGCATCAACATCTGTTTGTTGCTTATTTGCCCTGCGACAGCTCACCTGCCTTCCTTTCCTTCTCTTGTCCTGTAAATATTCTAGGTTTTGCTCCAGTGTTTTCCATCCTGGTACTAACCTATCTAAGACCTGAGCACTCTAGGGAGCTCTGAAAAGAAAGAGAGAAGAGTTATCTGATAAAGAGCTACAGAGGCACCCTGGGCCTTTTTCCTTCCTGAAATTGTGTCTTCAAATTATTAGAATTTACTGATCAACATTGCGGGAACATAAACACATTCTCTGGTTACAGACACTTAAAATAGGCTAGTTTCTGCAAAAGCACCAAACAGTTTAGCTGCTTTTAACTGGCACCTTTCTCAGGAAGTTGTAGTATTGTTCATTCCTAGGAAAGGCTATGATATAATGGCTATGTATAATAGCCTGGATACATTGAAAGTACGTTTTCACTTTTTTGAAAACAATTTGAGAATTGTTTTCAACCTCCTTTTCATCAAGTCCATACTGCCTTTTAGGCTTCCTTTTAAGTCCATTTAATCCCTCCATCAATGTTTTGAGGTAGGTATGGTCCCCATTTTATATAGAAGTAATAAGGAAAAAGGCTCAAGGAGTTTAATTATGTGCAGAGGGCTTTTGGCAGTTGGATTCCGGCTGCCCTAAGATCATGATGTTATAGACAAGTTGACTGAATTCAAGTTGGGGTTTTTCCATGTAAAGTTTATCTTCCCAAGCTACTGAAATGGATATTATAAAAATATAGTCAATTCATCTTATGAATGGGAAGAGTACTTTTTTAAAAGTGTGATCATTCCCCAGAAATTATAAGGGCATACTCTTGTCTCAGAAGAAAATGTCATGAAGAGGGTCTCTATAGGGCAAAAATCAAAATCATTTTTCTTGTTTTAGTTTTCTGGATATGCCACAGAAGGATCCGTGCCAGAAACAAGCCTGTGAAATACAGAAATGTTTACAAGGTACTATGTAAAATCCTTTTTTTGTATTTTCCAATTTAATTATGAACTAACTACAAGAGATCAATTGTTATTTTTTTCCAGCAACCTGTATTAACTCTTCTCTCAGAATACTTTCTGTAATTAATTCATCCTGAAGAGAAATTTTTCCATTATTAAAATAATAGATGAAGATGGATGTTCATGAAAATGTAGAAAATTGGTAAGAAAACAGGTCTGAGTTAAGACAAAAGACTAACTTTGACTTAAATTCTTTTCATTTTATGATATAAACAATGTTTTATAAAATGTTAATTTCTGATAATGCTATTATTTTTAGTTATGCTTGCCTTCCCTTCCTCCAATTTTGAGAGGAAAAGTATTTTTCTCATTTAATTTTTTCTCACCAATAAATTGTTCCCTAATTTGAAATAGCAGCCCATGGCCCAGACAGAATCAAGTTCAAAAGAGCTGATTACACCCCCTTGCTAGCGTGTAGGAGGAATGAGGGTTGAGTCCTGGTGGCACACTGCTTAAAGTGCTTGACTGCTAACTGAAAGGTTGGCAAATCGCACTCACCAGCTGATCTCTGTCATGCAAGGTCCAAGACTCGAATGTGATTCATCAACGGTGAGAGCTGGGTTCAGTCATGTTGGGTGGGGATGACGAGCACCCTTGTAAGAATGCTAAACATATTAAAGAATTTATCCTTT